TTTGCAAATCGGCCATCTGAGTGTGGCTTGTAGCCAGGTTTTAGGCGGGATGCAGTTGGGCGGCAGCATTGATGGCATTTTCCATGCGATAATTCCAGACTGCATCCCGTAATTGACTTGAAAATGGCAGGGGTAAGTCGCTTAAAAAACCAGTGATAATCTCCCTTGTTTTTTCTGTTTATTTATGTCCTTCCTTGTTATTCTATCTCTTCTTTTGATACCACCATAATCTTCATATGAGATTGTAAGATTTTTTGTTTATTCCTCTCCCCACTTTATTTAATATTTTACAGATATTTCATACCTATGTTCCTATACCAAATCTCTCTCTATAGTCATATAGATAGATATGCCTTTATCTTATCTTTTCTTATAAATTAGTCTACCTTCTATCTCCTATTAGTTCTTTAAAGTTTTTACTGCTAATTCTCCCCATTTTTCTTTCAGGTAAATTCTTATTTCTTCCCAGTTTTCTTCATATTTCTTTACTAACTTTTCCTTAAAATTATTCATTTCCATCAAGTCATAGATTTTTAAATTTAATTTTTTTTTAAAATTAGGCTGTCCCAGGACTGGAGGATTCCTCACTCATAATGTTACAGACTCGTGAGTAAAAATATGCTTAGGATCAAGCAGATCATCTCAGATGGAGCAGGTCCTTTTGCAAACTCACTCAAAACCCTTTCCACCTGCACCAAATCTGAAATCTGAAAAGGCAATGTCATTGAAAGCGTAAGGCTTTGACCCAGGATGATTGTCAACTTGGCAAGGTTGTACTGCTTGGCTTCCGCACCCTTCCTTGAAAGGAAAATTGCATGTGTGTGCAATTTTTCTCTCTCTCCAAAAAAAAAGGAGTCCGTTTTCGATGCATGAAGGTTTTCTCCAAAAGGCTTATCGAAAAGAGCTTGGCGCTCGCCCTGCTGTGTCTTTCCCACAGCCGTCCAGCACATGCTTTGGGTTATTCTCTCTGGTTATTTTCCAAGGTCCAGCTTTGAGCGATTAGGCCAGAGGCGCTGTGTGCTTTAGTCACATCTGCTGCTTTTCTGGAGGTCAATCACACAGTTCTCCATTCAGGGCGAGAAGTAAGGGAGGCCTGACAAAGGGAAACAATTATTCCAATTGAAGGTGTATCGACCCACATCCTGGGGCTTGCATGGCAGTTTGGGGACAGGGCTTCTGTAGGGGGAAAGGGGAGGAGGAAAGGAGGGGTGAGGAAAAAGATCAATTCCAAGTGTTGCTGAATTGGGAGGCAAACCTGACGGGAAATACATTGGGCTAGTGTTTTGTGGCTTGGGCTGCAAGTGAAGGGTAACATGGTGAACACCAATGACAAACTGAGGAGATTGTGTTCCTTGCTTCTCATTGGAATCATATTAGGCATCTTCTTCTTGCTGCTGCTGCTGTTGCTGCTGCTGTGTGCCTTCAAGTCACTTCTGACATAGGATGACCTTAAGCAAACCTATCATATCACACGTGGGCCAGAAAGCGAAAATAAAGTGGAAATGAGGCAT